AGCTACTCGGGAGGCTAAGGCAGGAGAATTGCTTGAACCCACGAGGCAGAGAGTGCGGTGAGCCGAGATCGCGCCATTGCACTCCAGCCTTGGTAACAAGAGCAAAACTCCGTGTCAAAACAAAACAAAACAAAAAAACCGCTCTGGACACTGGATCACTACTGAGAGATCCTAGTAGCTAATGTTTCACATGTTTGGTTCCAACTTGTTACTTGGGATATTTAGCTCATCCTATGCAATTACACTAAGAGAGAACATTTGGAAACTGGCAGCTAGTTTCCTCTAGAACAAATGTAGTTAAGCATGACAAAAGACTCATAAAAAAACTCACTATTTCAATGGAAAAATTACAAATTTTTCATTGGATAATGACAAAGGAGAAGGAAAGACAGGGAAAGATTGCACATATTCTAAGAAAAAACTCAATGTCCCCTCTCATGATTATCTATTATATTCCCTAAATTCCTAAACAGACTTTTAGTAGCCAACAAAAATTACATTACCAAATCTAATAAAAGTCACAAATGTCTGAAAGGTTAAAAACTGGCCAGGTAGGTGGGCGTGGTGGCTCACGCCTGTAATCCCAGCACTCTGGGAGGCGGATCACCTGAGGTCAAAAGTTCGAGACCAGCCTGACCAATATGGTGAAACCCCGTCTTTTTAAAAAAAAAAAAAAAAAAAAAAAAAAACTGGCCAGGTACATTGGCTCATGCCTGTAATCGCAGCACTTTGAGAGGCCGAGGCAGGCAGATCACAAGGTCAGGATATTGAGACCATCTTGGCCAACATGGTGAAACCCCATCTCTACTAAAAATACAAAAAAAAAAAATTTATCCAGGTATGGTGGCACTTGTCTGTAATCCCAGCTACTCTGGAGGCTGAAGCAGGAGAATCACTTGAATCCGGGAGACAGAGGCTGCAGTGAGCCGAGATCCTGCCACTGCACTCCCGCCTAGCGACAGAGTGAGACTCCATCTCAAAAACAAGCAAACAAAAACCTTCTAACCAAGAAAGTTACAGCTTTCCAAAAACAGATAAAGAATTTTGAAACTATAATATTCAGCATCCCATACTATTAACAAGGAGATAAACAGAAAAAGGAAAGCAAAAAATGGTAGAAAAGCTTTGTAAGTTTTTATTTGTCCTTGGCTCAATCCCTCCCCACATCAGAGCCAATCTTGAAGCAGACACAAAGTTTTCATTGTGGATCCCCAGAGAGAGCAAATCAGGTCTCATTTGCAAATTATTGCCTTTGTATTTTCTAATTGGTATGGGGATTATCCAAAGGTGTGAAATGAGGCTCTCTTTTCTACTTCATCAATGATGGAGCTCAATCAGGGTCAAACATGACAAGAACTACTTCAAAACATTGCAAAATACACAAAAAGCCTGCAACCACCTGGAACAACAGATTATAATTAAGACATACAGCAGACCTACTAAATCTTGGGAAGAAAAGCTGGAGATAAAATTTCCTTCAGAAATTAGGGTACTGAAAAGCACCCAGATGTATTAGGGAATGCTTTTCTTATACCTACCTGATCTAATAGATACAAATTTGTTTGAAATAATACTAGTAATGTATTGGGTAGTTACAGCTTCCAACAGGGCAAATGAATGACAGTGATGTTATATGGAATGGGAGGAAGGAATTTGGAACAGTAAGTAATACTAATACTACTTCCAAAGCCACTATAGCATTATTTGAAACTGAAGGTCCATTCACTGCAAATGGTATACTACAAACTCTAGAGAATTCACTTAATAAAATTTAAGAAACAGCCCAGCACAGTGGCTCATGCCTGTAATCCCAACACTTTGGGAGGCAGAGGCGGGTGGGTCATGAGGTCAGGAGATCAAGACCACCCTGGTTAACACGGTGAAACTCCATTTCCACTAAAAATACAAAAAATTAGCCGGGCATGGTGGTGGGTACCTATAGTCCCAGCTACTCGGAAGGTTGAGGCAGGAGACTCACTTGAACCCGGGAGGCAGAGGTTGCAGTGAGCCAAGATCACCTCACTGCACTCCAGCCTGGGCGACAGAGTGAGACTTCATCTAAAAAAAAAAAATTAAGAAACAAGTAGGCTTACTATACTAATAGAAGCAAGCAAATAGAATCATATAGAATGTTCAGTTAAAATGAAAGCAGAAAAAGTGAAGTTGAAAAAACAGTCAAGTATTAGAATTGAAAACAGTAACATTTATTGTTATTAATCCAATTATGTTAACGCCACTTCAAATGTGTATTACCTATATATACCAGTTAAAAAGACACGGCCTGTCTGAATAGAATAAAAAAAACAAGGCCGGCCGGGCACTAACTCATGCCTGTTATCCCAGAACTTTGGGATGCCGAGGTGGGTACATGGCTTGAGGACAGGAATTCAAGACCAGCTTGGCCGTCTCTACTAAAAATAGAAAAAAATAAAAAAATAAAAATAAAAAAGCCAGGCATGGTGGCACATCCTGTAATCTTAGCTACTCAGGAGGCTGAAGCATGAGAATCCCTTGAACCTGGGAGGTAGAGGCTGCAGTGAGCTGAGCTTGTGCCACTGTACTCCAGCCTGGGAAACAGAGCAAGTCTCTGTCTCAAAAAAAAAAAAAAAAAAAAAAAAAGGCCGGGCGCGGTGGCTCACGCCTGTAATCCCAGCACTTTGGGAGGCAGAGGCGGATGGGTCACGAGGTCAAGAGATCGAGACCATCCTGGTCAACATTGTGAAACCCCGTCTCTATTAAAAATACAAAAAATCAGCTGGGCATGGTGGCGTGTGCCTGTAATCCCAGCTACTCAAGAGGCTGAGGCAGGAGAATTGCCTGAACCCAGGAGGCGGAAGTTGTGGTGAGCCGAGATCGCGCCATTGCACTCCAGCCTGGGTAACAAGAGCAAAACTCCGTCTCAAAAAAAAAAAAAAAAAAAAAAAAAAAAACCAACAAATAAAACAAGGCTCAGCAATGTGTACATGAAAACCATTTTAAACTGAAAGACACAAATATAAAGGTATGGAGGAATAAATGCCATTCTAGCCCTAATCAAAAGAAATATGGAATAGCTATTTTAAATCACATAAGGCCAGGCTCGGTGGCTCACGCCTGTAACTGCACTCCAGCCTGGGTGAGAGACCCAGGGTCCCTCCCTTTGGGAGGGTGAGGCAGGTGGGTCATCTGAGGTTAGGAGTTCAAGACCAGCTTGGCCAACATAGTGAAACCCCATCTCTACTGCAAATACAAAAATTAGCCGGGTGTGGTGGTGGGTGCCTTGTAGTCCCAGCTACTCAAGAGGCTAAGGCAGAATTGCTTGAACCCGGGAGGCAGAGGTTGCAGTGAGCCTAGATCATGCCATTACACTCCAGCCTGGGCAACAAGAGCAAAACTCTGGCTCAAAAAATAAAAATAAAATTAAAAAATTAATTCGGATAAATCAGGTTTTAGGTCAAGGAAAGATACAAGGGATGAAGAGATTTCAAAAAGATAAGGAAGTCAATTCTACAAGAAGACACTAATTCTTAATATCTATGCTCATAAAACAAATTATCAAAATATATAAGGCAAAACTTATAAAATCACACGGCAAAATACACATGTCCTGGATGGCTTCCCAGTACCTACTGGCATTCAATGCATGCTAACCTCTTCTTTCTGGCATCTCTAAGTAATACATGGTTTCTGTTATTTCTTGCATTTTGTTGAGTTGCTTCCTCTGTGTCTTACCTGACCAACATACCTGAATCTAATTTCTACCCAGTCGGGGCTTCCTTTGTAAGATTATTTTGGCAGTGGCTATCTTGGTAGTAATAAAATAAAAACTGGTCAGACAATGGGCCATAAGGTATCCACCAGGAAAAACAAGTTTCCTCTAAGAGGGAAACTGGGTTACTGGTCTGATATTTAGGCATTAGGTCACCTGGCAGGATAAAGAAGTACTATCCTATAAGTGATGTTTGGAAGGCTTTCAAATTAACCTGCTTGGGGAGGTCTTATGATTCAGGGCTTACATCTCGTCCCTTAGCAAAGAATCTTTTTTTTTTTTTTGAGATGAAGTTTTGCCCTTGTCCAGGCTGGAGGGCAATGGCACGATCTTAAGTGTGATCTCTGTCTCCCAGGTTCAAGTGATTCTCCTATCTCAGCCTTCTGAGGTGGCATGCGCCACCACACCCGGCTAATTTTGTATTTTTAGTAGAGACGGGGTTTCACCATGTTGGTCAGGCTGGTCTTGAACTCCTGACCGCAGGTGATCCACTTGCCTCAGCCTCTCAAAGTGCTGGGATTACAGACGTGAGCCACTGCACCCGGCGAGTAAAGAATCTTATTGTGAGTGCCTCAATTTTTTTTTTCAGACAGGGTCTCTCACCCAGGCTGGAGTGCAGTGACACATTCACAGTTCACTGCATACTCAAACTCCCAGGCTCAAGCAATCTTCCATCCTCAGCCTCCCAAGTAGCAGAGACTACAGGCATGTGCTACCATGCCTGACTAATTTTTTGTAGAGATGGGGTCTCTGTATGTGATCCAGGTTGGTCTCAAACTCCTGGGATCAAGTGGTCCTCCTGCCTCAGCTTCCTAAATTGTTGGGGTTATAGGTGTAAGCCATTGCACCCAGCCAAGCTCCTCAAATCTTATGGTGAATTCCTCAATCTATTGCTGTATTAATTAACACGTAACCTACTGACACTGATAAATACATTGATTTTTTTCTGAATCATAAAATTTTGCTGACTGTCTTCCTCACAGACCATTTTAGCCTGCAAGCTGTCATCCATAGCCTATTGTTTGTAACCTCTCTATTGTACCCTCCAATAAAAAGGATAAGTCCAGTTGGAGGGAAAAAAAAATTAAATTAAATTAAAAGTTTAAAAGATGGCCAGGCGCGGTGGTTCACGCCTGTAATACCAGCACTTTGGGGGGCTGAGGCGGGCGGATCATGAGGTCAAGAGATCGAGACCATCCTGGCCAACATGGTGAAACCTTGTCTCTACTAAAAATACAAAAATTAGCTGGGTGTGGTGGTGCAGTAGAATTGCTTGAACCCGGGAGGCGGAGGTTGCAGTGAGCCAAAATCGCACTACTGCACTCCAGCCTGGCAACAGAGCGAGACTCTGTCTCAAAAAAAAAAAAAAATTAAAAGGACAAGTCCAATGTGGGGAGTCCTCCTCTAATTCTCCTAAGCTTTCTTATAAAGGTAGCGAACTTGTAATAGACTTTGGAACACACCCAGCTTTGTTGGTGTGTTTTCTGGGTTAATCCTCAAATTTGGCTTCCAAAAATCCTTTATCAAATCACTTCTGTCTCAGCAGCTTTCATTTCAAACAACAGAAGTAACCCATGAAAGACAAAATATAAATATCCACAACCAAACCTCTCAGGATCCTCCAATGCAGGGATAGAGTTTATAGCCCGTGTCTTGAGAGACCTCAAGATTAAAGTAGAAAAACATAATATCTGTGAAAGACAAAACTAGCACACTTTCACAAGCTATAGGAAAATGTTTTCTGATTCAACAATATGGAGTGTTTTCTTTCTTCCTTCTTTTTTTGTATTTTCTTTTTTTAGACAGGGTCTCACTTTGTCACCCAGGCTGAAATGCAGTGGCTCAATCATGACTCTGCAGCTTCAGCCTCCTGGGCTCAAGTGATCCTCCCACCTCAGCCTTCTGAGTAGCTGGGACTACAGATGCAAGCCACCATGCCTGGCTAATTTTTGTATTTTCTGTAGAGATGGGGTTTCATCATGTTTCCCATGCTGGCCTAACTCCTGAGCTCAAGTGATCTGCCTGCCTTGGCCTCCCAAATTGCTGGGATTACAGGTGTGAGCCATCATGCCCAACTGAGTTTTCTTATGTAAGAAAATAAAGCAGGTCCCAAAGGAAGGGACTGGAAAATTCAACTGTATGAAAATCCCGTAGAGTTGTATGTGGCTTATGCCTGTCTTCCCAACACTGCCTGAGTTTGAGATCAGTCTAAGCAACATGGCAAAACCTCATTTCCACAAAAAATGTAAAAACTAGCCAGGGATGGTAGCATGTGCCTGTAGTTCCAGCTGCATGGGGGACTAAGGCAGGAGGATCGTTTGAGCCCAGGAGTCTGAGGCTGCAGTGAGCTGTGATTGCAGAACTGTACTACTCCAGCCAGCCTCAGTGACAGAGCAAGACCCTGACTCAAACATAAATGAATCAACTAATTAATGAGAAAATGGCTGAAAATTATTTCACAGAAGATGAAAGACTATAAGGAAAAAGCTCAACTCCAATGCTAGTCAGTAAAAAGCAACATATAATCACATGGAGGTAAGTATTTATAAGCAATAAACACACATGCACATATGGTCTGCCAGTTAATCTATACATGCCAACAGGTTTTCCTAGTAAATTAATATCTATCCATAATCTACAACCCAGCACATTTTCCCCCATATGTACAAAATTTATAAAGTGTTAGCACTTGGGGACAAAAACAAAGATGACATTGTCAACAAAGTCCAGCAAAAGTCCAGCAAAAATGAAACAATTCAAGTCTTATGAGCAGTGGAACATGAGAGTGAAGTAACTCATAGCCTCAGACAGCAACATGTATCAAACAGACTGAGGCAAAGAAACTAAAAATCAGCATAATATTAATGGTATAGTAAGCGTAATATTAACTAACTGAAAACTCAGAAGAGGGAAAACTATGCAGCTGGATTCACATGGGATAAACTAATGAATAACAGACACTCAGTCAACGTAAGGCTCTGACCTGTGGTGCCTCTGACTTCTGATAACAAAGGTGTGCCATTTGTTGAACGCCAATCAATTCTCCAGCAACAACTGGGTGTCCAATAATTCAATTCTTACACCACACAGAATTAACACAGATCCCATAAGTTTCTTACTGAAGGGCTCAGTCCCACAACAGGCCCCTACTGCAGATGCCATTTGCAAGCCCCAGGAACTAACCTTTTAACCAACTCAGTATAAATACAACAGCACCAGCCTCTGGTTCAATAATTGGCTAAAACAACTCATGAAACTCAGCAAAACACTTAAGGTTACTAGTTTGTTATAAAGGGTATTCAGCAAGGGAAAGGGCAGGGATGGGTAAAGCTTTCCCTCTTGAGTGATACCACCTTCCCAGCACATCAATGTGTCTACCAACCTGAAAGCTGTCCCAATGATGTCTTTTTTTTCTTTTTTTTTTTTTTTTTGAGATGCAGTCTCACTCTTTTTGTCCAGGCTGGAGTGCAGTGGTGAGATCTTGGCTCACTGCAACCTCCGCCTCCAGGGTTCAAGCAATTACCCTGCCTCAGCCTCCTGACAGGTGGGATTACAGGCCCAGCTAATTTTTGTACTTTTAGTAGAGATGGGTTTTCGCCATATTGGCCAGGCTAGTCTCCAACTCCTGACCTCGTGATCTGCCCACCTCAGCCTCCCAAAGTGCTGGGATTACAAGTGTGAGCCACCTCACCCGGCCCCAATGTCTTTGTTCAATAAATTTTACACAACTGGTCAGGCGCGGTGGCTTACACCTGTAATCCCAGCACTTTGGGAGGCTGAGGTGCGAGGATCACCTGAGGTCAGGAGTTCGAGACCAGCCTGCCCGACATGGAGAAACCCTGTCTCTACTAAAAATACAAAAATTAGCCAGGTGTGGTGGCACATGCCTGTAATCCCATCTACTCAGCAGGCTGAGGGAGAAGAATCACTTGAACCTAGGAGGCGGAGGTTGCAGTGAGCCAAGATCACGCCAATGCACTCCAGCCTGGCAACAAGAGTGAAACTCCAACTCAAAAAAAAAAAATTTATACAACTTAATCTCTAGCCTCCCTCCATTTCCTGGGGTCAGAAGATGGGGCTTAAAGTTCCAATCCTGTCATCATGTGTTTGCTCTTTCAGGTCACCAGTCCCCATCCTGAAGTTACCTAGTGACCTCACTATGAGTCACCTAATTAGCATAACTTTACCTAAGGTCTGACAAGAGCTTGGTGGGAATAACAAAACACATTCCCATCACTCACAAAAATTCAAGGATTTTAGGACTTCTTTGCTGGGACCTAGAAACAATGACCAAATATTTTTTAGGCCGGACACCATGACTCATGCCTATAAATTCAGCACTTTGGGAGGCTGAGGTAGGAGAATCATCTGAGGTCAGTAGTTCAAGACCAGCCTGGGCAACATGGTGAAACCCTGTCTCTACAAAAAATACAAACATTATCTGGGCATGGTGGTGCACACTTGTAGTCTCAGCTACTTAGGGGGTTGAGGCAGGAAGATTGCTTGAGCCCAGGAGATGGAAGTTCCAGTGAGCCATGATCATGCACTGCACTCCAGCCTAGGTGGCAGAATAAGACTCAAAAAAAAAAAAAAAGACCAAATATTTTTGAAAACTATATTATATCACAGACCCAAATAAACTCTCAGATTCATAAGCCCTTCGTCCATCATGCAGAACCAAAAGGTTCTCTAAGTCAGCCCAAACAGACTTTTAAATTTGTACAATACTCTGATTAAACAAACACAGTGAATGTAAAAGCAGACTCTAATACTGTTGATTTAACCCCAGCTCTGTAATCCTGGTTAACAGCTAGAATTAAATAAATCACTTCAGGCCAGGTGAGGCAGCTCACACCTGTAATCTCCGTACTTTGGGAGGCCAAGGCAGGCGGATCACTTGAGTCTATGAGTTCAAGATCAGCCTGGGCAACATGGTGAAACCTCATCTCTATGAAAAATACAAAAATTAGCTGGGCATAGTGGTGCATGCCTGTATGGCCACTCGGGAGGCTGAGGTGGGAGGATCACTTGAGCTCAGGAGGCGAGTCGGAGGTTGCAGTGAGCTGGGATCATGTGGCCTGGGTGACAGAACAAGACTCCATCTCAAAAAAGAAAAAAAAAGAAGAGATTGTGTGCTGGCTCAGACTGAGTCTAGTAGGAAGGAGAAAAATTTAAGGAAAGTTTGCTTTATATTAATTTTAGGCAGGCTGGTTAGTGAAGACAAAATTATTCAGCTAATCATTTCTGAGGCAAAGTGGAAATTTGGAGGGGTTTTTGTCTGGTCTTCTTAAAGGTTAAAAAGAGGCTCATAGTCAAAGCAATGCAGAGGGCCCAGCCACAAAACCCTTTTTAATCCCTCCTAAGAACTGACTGAAGTCAAGGTGAAACATTCTCTGATGTAGGATCTGATTTTCACCTTCCATCCTGCTCTCTCTCCTACCTTCTTTCTAATATTGTTTGCTCTTCACTTTGAAAAGCAATTTTCGGCTGGGGTGGTAGCTCTCAGCACTTTGGGAGGCCGTGGTGGGTGAATCAAGAGGTTAGAAGATCAAGACCATCCTGGCTAACATGGTGAAACCCCGTCTCTACTAAAAATACAAAAAATTCACTGGGTGTGGTAGCATGTGCCTGTAGTCCTAGCTACTCGGAAGGCTGAAGCAGAAGAATAGCTTGAACCCAGGAGGCAGAGGTTGCAGTGAGCTGAGATCTAGCTGTACTCTAGCATGGGCAACAGACAGACAGGCTCTGTCTCAAATAAAAAAAAGAAAAGCAATTTTCTGACTGGGTGTGGTGGCTCATGCCTGCAATCCCAGCACTTTGGGAGGCCAAGGTGGGTAGATCTCTTTGGGTCAGGAGTTTGAGACCAGCCTGGCCAACATGGTGAAACCCATCTCTAATAAAAATACAAAAATTAGCTGGGTGTGGTGGCGGGTACCTGTAATTCCAGCTACTCAGGAGGCTGAGGCAGGAGAATCACTTGAACCCGGGAGGCAGAGGTTGTAGTGAGCTGAGATCGCACCACTGCACTTCAGTCTAAGTGACAAAGCAATACTCCGTCTCAAACAACTAAAAAGTCCAGGCGTGGTGGCTCATGCCTGTAATCCCAACACTTTGGGAGGCCGAGGTGGGTGGATCACCTGAGGTCAGGAGTTCAAGATCAGCCTGGCCAACATGGCGAAACCTTGTCTCTACTAAAAATAACAAAAAATTAGCAGGGTGTGGTGGCACATGCCTGTAGTTCCAGCTGAGGCAGGAGAATCGCTTGAACCTGGGAGGCAGATGTTGTAGTGAGCTGAGACTGCACCACTGCACTCCAGCCTGGGCAACAGAATGAGACTCTGTCTCAAAAACCAGAAACAAAAAGAAAAAAAAAAAGGAAAGCAATTTTCTGCCTAAGCTTTGAGATCCTTGCAGATCTTATTGTTGGTTGTTTTCTCTTTTTGCAATTTTTTTTTAGAATGAATTTTTTTTTTTTTTTTTTTTTTTTTTTTTTGAGACATAGTCTTGCTCCGTCGCCAGGCGCCAGGCTGGAGTTCAGTGACGCAATCTCGGCTCACTGCAACCTCCTCCTCCCAGGTTCAAGCAATTCTCCTGCCTCAGCCTCCTGAGTAGCTGGGACTACAGGCATGTGCCACCACGCCCAGCTAATTTTTCTGTATTTTTAGTGGAGACGGGGTTTCACCATGTTGGCCAGGATGGTCTCGATCTCTTGACCTCGTGATCCGCCTGCCTCAGCCTCCGAAAGTGCTGTGATTACAGGAGTGAGCCACCGCGCCCAGCCAGAATGAAGTCACTTCTTACCCAAATCCAGATTTATTTTATTTGAGAATGTCTAGCAACAGCCCCACAACAGTAACAAAGATAACCTCAGACAGGGCATCACCCTAAATGTCTCTGCCTGTGGATCTTCAACTTTCCAGTGCTCTGTCGCTTCTCTCAGCATAAAGGGTTCCTCCCATGTTTGGAATGAACAGGTTGGGTCACCTGCCAGGAAGGTTCCCCAGGAAGAAACAATTCAACTGGGTCTTCAATGACCTCTCTCTGCAGGCTCCAGATTGACCTTAGCTCAGAGTCAGTGGTCTCAGGCTTCTCCACCCCAGTCAAGTCTACTCACTTACCTTTACATGCCTTACATGGGTATTTAAAAACAAATTACTTATGTGTGATGAATCCAGAAAAATCACTCCAATCCAGCATTTATGTTTATAGGAGAGAAGGAAACTGCAAAGAACCTATATTTTATAGTTCAACAGGAAAAGCATAAGTATCTATCTGTTTCAGACAACAAATGTCATTAATTTATCATTTCCATAATAATAAATCATTTAGTAAGTAAATAATGATATTTGAGTTCTTTAGCTGTTGGAAAGTCCTGTCCCACAGAATTTTGCATTAGTATGTCAAGTCCAAATAACAGGAACAGAATAGAGTTATTCACTGTCTCAAATGCTCCACTCTACAAAGGAGAGGAACTAACATTTTGGTAAATCTTTATAATTCATCAATATATCCACCACATTTTCTTGGAAAATGTATTCATTTTTCTGCAGTCATAATAAAAAACAGTGTTTCCCAACTTCTTTTCACTCCTAGGCCATGAAATTCCATTTGAAATTGTCCAATAAAAAAACAGACCTGAGGCCAGGCGTGGTAGCTCACTCCTGTAATCCTAGCACTTTGGGAGGCTGAGGCAGGTGGTTCACTTGAGCTCAGGAGTTTGAGACCAGTCTGGCCAACATGGTGAAACCCTGTCTCTACTAAAAATACAAAAAAATTAGCTGGGCATGGTAGCATACATCTGTAATCCCAGCTACTCAGGAGGCTGAGGTGAGAGGGTTGCTTGAACCCAGGAGATGGAGCTGCAGTGAGCTGAGATCTTGCCACTGCACTCCAACCTGGGTGACAGAGCGAGAATCCATCTCAAAAGAAAGTAAATAAAAGTTAAAAATAATAATAAAACATAGGACTAAATATGTAATTTGTTTTCTGAAACCCCAACTTGTTCTTGCCTCTTCGAACATACTTTCTCTTCTTTATTAAGCCCTAATGATAAAATGCATTTTGCAGTTATTAAAAAGCTGAAGCTGAAATGAGTGAACAAATCATTTCAAGATGATAAATGCAGGGAGGGGCTGACTGGAATGCAGACAAATCTGACTCAAGTGTCACTTCAGGTCCTCTATCACTTGGGACATCTCCCACCCCCATCCTGCTCACTAAACTGCTGCATAACTAGTCTCTCAGGAGATGCTACCCTCAATACCACCAACCAGCTGGCTCACCAGCCATGTGTCCCCAAGGAATGGAAACTGGGATTGGAGGAAGAAAAGCTGAATGTTTTAAGGGCTTCACTTTTTGACAAACAGTATACCAGGGAACTCCTCCCACCCTGACGGCACACAGCTGCTCCCCTATAAGGTCCCACCCCTCACCTCAGGCTGTCTTCTGGGAG